TGAACATGATTGAACTGAACCTGAACCTGAACTTGACCAAAGTTCGGTTTCAGTTCGGTTCATAGGAACACTAATAAAGCTCTACTCAAGAACAGTGATTTTATATATTTTATATATTTTATATAATACTACAGAATTTATATAAAAATGCTTATATTATATAATTTGATAATATCACCACAAAATGGCATATAATATGGCAATTTATAGAAATTAACATATAATTTGGCAATTTATTGGTAAGTTGATGAATAAAAGTTTAACATATCTGGTATCTTCCAATATAGAATTTGAATAAACCGAAAAGTTTTGATAAATTTTGCCATGTTTATTACAGAATTGTATATAACTTAGCCAAGTATGCTACAGAATAACATATAAATTGGCCAAGTATACTACAGAATTGCATATAATTTGTCAAATATGGGTTTATATCAAATCTCATAATTTGAATTTTGTTACTATATAATTTGAATTTTGTCACCGCATAAAATCACTGTCCCTAGCTCTGCCTTAATATAAATGTTTTCTAACTATCGACCAACTTCAAATACCTCTTTAACTAAGACCCTGATTCAAGTTATATAGAGTAGCAAAGTTAATCTTTATAAAAACCACTTTGTTGTTCACCTACTACAGATCTTGTCAACTTTTCAATATTCAAACTAAACTTTTTTTTTGTAGGAAATTTTGGTCCAAGTGATTGTCAAAAAAAGTTGAAGAAAATGAAATTGGTATTATTTTTAAAAATAACTATATTAAATTTATCAAACTTAAAAAAACTAAATTAATCTAAACTAGACTCAAGCCTACTCTAAAAGTTTAATATTAAACTCAAACTAAATTGTATTTTTAAAAATAAATCTAATTTAAATTTAGTTTAAATTTAAATTAAACTTAAACTCAACTTAAAGTTCAATTTAGTTTGAGTTTATAAAAACACTAGCTAATAAATACTATTTTTTGAGTTCTATTTATATAACTACTAAGCTTTATTAACTATTGCCAATCTTGGTTATATATTCTAAAATTTACAAAACAAAAAACAGTTTTTTGTAATTATCTTAATAATTAGAGATCCTATTTGAATAAACTTTTTTTAAACATAAGGGCTTTTAGTGAAATTCATTTAACAAAAAAGTTTATCTAACAAAAAGACAAATAAAATTTTTAATTTTATTCAATTCTAATTAAGATATTTTAAGATTAAAATTAGCCAAAATCTAGTTATGATCTATATTAAAGATATCTGGGTCCTAGATTATCTAGATGTATCAGGTTATAAAAAGTTAAGAGCTGATTATAAGAATAGTAAGATGGAAGAACAAGATCATTTTTTTTATATTGTACTGTTATTTGTCTTTTCATCTTTTTTCATACATATTTTCAAACAACCAATGCCTGATTACCAATTAATCTAACAAAAGATTTTATTTTATTAATTGTTTCAACAGATAATTTATCGCTGTTTTTTTGAAATGGTTGAGAATAGCGGGATTTACAAAAAAAAATTTTTTTATACGAATACCCGAAAACCTAAAAACCCGATTAATTTAGAACACTGATCGATAATCGATTCCCGATTTACATATGCACTCGCATAATTGTTTCAATGTTCTAAAAAAAATTTTTTTTGTAAATCTTGCTATTCTCAACCATTTCGAAAACAGCGATAACAACAGGTGAACGACCAGTGTTTCCATAAGGTGGAGGAAGCATTGGTTGTTTTTTTTAAACCCATCCACAAAGATGATAAAAAGCATCTTTACCACATAACCGAAGTATGGTAGATGATACTTGGTCAGTGTGAAACTATAATCACATTAATGCCGCATATACATTTTATACGTATATAGATTCGAAATAAAGATTTTTGAGTAATTATCAAATTCAGTTACTTCAATTATCGAAATTAAAAAATTAAAAGATTATATTTCTGAATTGTTATTTTTTAAACTACATCTAATGTAAGCACATCACATGTCAAATTAAGATTATTTGGCCAGCCAAATTTCATTTACTGCATGAATTAAAATGCGATAAATTTATCAATCCTCCAAAATTATAACAAAGTTCGAACATCAATCATCAAGAAACCAACTTAATGAAACAATAAAAAAAACAGAAATTAATGAAATTTATCAGCCTAGAACTTCATTAAACAAAAAAATGGGTAACGCGAATTAACAAAATTAACGAATTTTTTTACAAAATTAATAAAAACAAGGATATATGCAGGTGATAAATTAAAGCAAGTAATCATATTTTGGGTAGTATCTTTGGCTAACTAATAAAGAAATACCACTTTAAAAATAAGAAATACTGAGATTAGTTCAATGACCAATTAAAACTTAAAACGAATATATATAAAAAAAAAATCACCTCAACATAATACAGGCATTTTGTACAATCAAGGCTATTCCAAAATAGAATTGATTCGTTTTTGCGTCATCTAACGTGTATTTGAAAACGAATACAGCCTGTGATAAAAAAAAAAAGGTGGAAATCAATAAAATTGGACAATGTTGACCGTAAAGATATTATAACAAAGAATTGTACGGTGCAAATCATCTAGTATCATAAAATCTAAGTCACTTAAGTCACTTAAGTGATTTAAGGGTTAACAATTCCGAGAACCTATTCGGACAATATTAGTCTTTGAAATTTTCTGTTATGTTTTTTTTTTTCTTAATTGTATCTCCTCGCCGGGAAAGTGTAATTTCGCAATATATATATTACTTTATAGGTCTCATCCAAGACTTACAAGGCAATGGATTTTTTTTTTTGCGAAATTCCAAATATTCGTCGAGGAGTTACGATTTTGGTTGACTTTAGATGATTTCACCATAATGAATTATCATGAATTACCATGAATTATCATAAATATGCAGTGGGAGTTCGCTAAACTACCGTATATTACTAAATATAATATTAAAAAAAGAATTTAAAACAAAACTAACCACAGAACCACATAAACCACAAGCCAATATCGTAAAACCTAAAAATAAGAGTAGACGAGCTTTCCAGAGTACTTTGGTTGAATGAAAATAGATACCATCAGTGAGGATTGATCTATCCACTGAGGCAGTACTATAATAATCGAGAATATATATTAAAATTGCGGAATGGAAATAGTTAAAAGGTAAGAAATTAAGAAAATAAATAAAAAAGAATTACATAATCATTCCAATTGTTGATAAAATTCCACAACTCCAATCTTCAAGGGAAATAAGAGAGAAGACAGCATCTTTACCGTTATAGATAGCAGTATAAATTAAGGCATCTATAAACTCCAACCATCCAATCCCAAACAAAGCGCCAGCGATATATAAAGCAACACCTCTAGTATTAGGCCTGAAGCATACCCTTCTATCATCAAAATCATTTGTCCATCGAGCGAGGACTGGTGGAGAAGTTGAAGGTGATCTTGTAGTAAAAAGATTATGAACCATAACTAATTTTCATTTATTAAGGAATCTGATAATTTAACGGTCTCTCCCTCAACATGCAACACTTTATTAATGTTTTCTCAACATGCAATACTTTATTAAAATAGTTTAATATAAAGAGTTCACCCCCCCTTCTTCTATAGACGAAAGGATGATTTAATAATGTTAAATGATGATTAACTTTAGGAAAATCGTCTTTTTTTCAAATTTAGCCGATTGATAAAAATAGCATGGTATGGCAAGCAAAAGTCCGTGCTGGTCCGAATTTCAAATTACATTCTTTAATTTAAATACTTTTTTTATTTATGGTTACTTTTAGGTTTATCATGTGATAATTGTGATATCTTGGGAGCTATCGCTAATAACCCGCAGAATATTGAAATCGAATACAGACGTACTTATTTGGTAGTTAGTACACGAGAAAACTTTTAGATATTTATATACGTAATAAAAATATAATACAGATATTTGGATAAATGAAAAACGCCTAAGGCGCCGACCTACATAATTATATGTATCTAGCTGTACAGAAAATTTCTCGGACTCAGATATTTACTTATTTGTAAATGCAGTCCGAAAATTCACCGAGATAGATGAATTAAGTTCATCTATTAGTTAAAAAACGGTATATATTTACGTAACTTTGCTTGTTTCATCAGGTGACAATACAGGTTTCTTATCAAGGTTGTTAATAGCGATAGCTTCCCTGAATCTTGTGAAACCTGAATTTGTTTACCTACACACGCGGTGATACACACGTGAGGGTATTTATTTGTATGGCAAATCTGTGAAAGATTCTGATTTCGTCACTTTTAATCTGAGATTTATTAGTCTTATTGTAACTGTATAATCATCGAGCATTTCGCGTAGAACGTTTCGAAAAAAAAATAGATCAAAAAACCGATTTAGGAAACATTTTATCATAAACGATGAACGACAAAATTACGTGGTCGAAGTAAGGTTGTAAATAAACTTTACCAAAGTATTGGGATTGTTATGGCGAATGCTAGATAAGGATAGTTCTTGCTGGTAAGGGTTTGCATGAGATATTGTTGCAAATTCTTATTTGGGAAATTTTTACCTGCCAACTCCTATTGTCTCATTGGGAGTATATTAGATTGTTTATAATAAAAAGAAAAACCCTCTTACATGAAAGAAAAAAAAATGCAAAAAATGCACCATTCTTTGTGGTTTAGTCATGTGATGCATGATTAAATTACTGCGTGAAATTCCAATAAGAAAATTTTTTTTTTCTTCTTATGATATTCTGTAATTAATAATAAAAAAGTCGTTTATAGTATATCTGATGTCAATCCGCATCAATTATCAGTGTCCCAAAATGAAAACCAGCAAGTAATTCAATAAGTTGGATAAGAACGTGATTTACATGTTTATAGATTTCCATTAGGCCTCATTCATACGAGTACTTTCAATGAAAAACCTGAATCTTGAGTTTATCACTTTCTAAAAAGTCTGATTATGTATGTACAGTACGTAAGGTTTTTTAGTCGTTATTGTCGTTATGACCTATGTGATATAAACAACTATATATCATTGAACACAAAATAATGTTATGAAATAAAACCTTGTCGATTGCTTATCGTCATTTACATACATTTAATCAATAGGAATTTAAAAAGTTAATGGATCAACTTTTTCATCAGTTGTGTTACCAGTAATTTTATAAACCGCTCAAATAAGTAAAGCTCAAATTACGTATATATAATGTCTAATTCATTACAGCAAATAAAGTCTTATAAATCAGCGATTTGTATAATCCCACCAAAATCTCAATGGTCAAATATTCAATCAATTCGGCAAAAACATGATAAACATTATAAAAGATGGATGCCTCATATTAACCTAATTTATCCTTTTATCTTAACTCAACAGCATGCTTCGGATAATTCCAATTCTTTAGATACCTCAACGGTTAATGATGCTTTTAACATTAGTGCCGGTTCAGAGATTATCGATGATAATATGATATTACAAATTTTGAAAAAAACTTTATGTCCAATCCATTCTTTCAAATTAAAGTTGCAAAATTTAAATTATTTCACACATGGAAACGAAGTTCAACTGTTTGGCTCCATCCTGAAACTTTTCCTGAAAATGCTTTGATTGAATTAGAGAATAGATTAATCGGAAGATCTAATTTAAACGATTGTGAAAATAATATGAGCAGAGAAGATGAGGAATTCGGTTTTCCAGGATTTGACGAGTTATTAAAAATTGGAAATGAAGGATTTAGACCGCATTTATCGTTAGGGAGCATAGCGGGCTTTATTATGATTGGTTGATTTTGAAGATCATCTCATCTTATTAAAGTCTTATTAAAGTAACGA